TTGAGAAGGAGAAGGAACTCTGTTTCAAATATATGAAGAGTGGACAAAATGTGACCAAGTGGACTTTGCAAAACATCTCATTTCCCAGACCTGTCATTACCAACATGCACTCATAAACGCATGTTTTCAACTTCTATCGCAAAAAGCTTTCCGGAGCCTATTGCCAAAGATATTGTCATACCTGTAATGCCAGACCACTGTGTGCAGGGCGTAGTACGTAATGACAAAAACTAGCAGAAAAAGAAGAAAACAGAAACAGTATTAATTCAAAACACACCTCTTGATGAGATTGTGTCTCTCAACTTTTAACTTTTTTTCTTTCAAATTATTTTAATAACCTGGCAGTGAGTCAAAAATACGATCATCGGGCACACATGTGATTAAAGGTAACAATGACACCAGATTCCAAAGAGCAAGGCTGGTAAGAAGGCTTCCAGACTCACAGATGGAAGAGCTTGGTTTCAGGGGGTCCCATGGGGAAGCAGGTGGCAGGAGGAAAATGAAATTTAAGGGACCGTCAGAGGACAGGCCATGGTTGCTGGGTCATCAGCACCTTGAAACGTTTCTTGGTGGTGACTCAGTGTCGAGAGTATTTGTCTTCAGGGGAGAACCGAGCAGGACGGGCCGAGCAGGACGGGCCGAGCAGGTCTGTTGTCCCGTGGGTCGGCCTCCTCAGGGTGCAGACCCCGTCTCCTGTTCACTGGGGCGATGCTGCAGAAGCTCGGTCACGCCAAAGCCAAAGGCTCCAGGGCATCTGCTGCCTCCCGCCTTTCTCCCGGAGCTTTAATTTATCCTAAAAGGTGAGATAACAACAAAATCTAATTGAAGATCGGGGAGACATGTCTTATGCACACTCTACTGCCAAACTGAAACAAGCAAAGAAGTCACCGTGTATACTCACAGTGGTGCTCAGAAGAGAGGAAGGGGTCTTCAGATGAGAAGATAACATACTGGAGAAAAACACATTCCAGAATACTCATGAGCCACGTGGCTGCCGTCAGTATGGTAGGAGAATGGTCTGAACTCCACTCCAGAACGTGGGCTGTTGGCATGGGAAACACACTGGTTCCTCCTGTGTAGCAGACTTGCACATACTTGTCAGTAATGGTATGATGGCAATATGCTCCCTAAGACTGTTCCTTTGCTTTGAGGGATGTAACGTCCCCAGTCATCACCTTCCTGGATGTTGGCTGTAGAGTTCAGTGCCAAGGACACTGTTTCTGCATCAGAAAGGTAGCATTGTAATAGTGAATAACACAATACTGTACTGGCTGATAAGTACCCACAATGGATACGAGTATGGCATTGCCCATTTGCAGTACCAGCATGGGCTGGTAGTGAGCGATTCATCTGACACCATCAGGTTGCAGGGTTCTTAAGTGTGCCAGGACTGCCATAACAGAATGCCATAAAATAGGGGACTTAAACAATAGAAGTACATTTGGCCACAGTATCTGGAGGCTGAAAGGTTAGTTTCTTCTGAGCCCTGCCCTAGGCTTGCTTGCTGATTACTTCCTTCTCACTGTGTCCCCACAGGGCCTTTTTCTCTGTGCACGTGTGGTCCTGGTATCTCTTCCTCTTTTTACAGGGACACCAGTCCCACTGGATTAGGGCCCCACCTGTATGACCTCATTTAATCATAATTACCTCCTGAAAGGTCCTATCTTCAGATAAAGTCACGTTGGCGGCTAGGGCTTCAATGTATGAATTTTGGGGGGACACACACAATGTAGTCCACGATAGGAACACAGAATATGGAACATGTTTCCAAGGAACAAGGGGCTGTGCAAAATTGGTGTGCTGTATTTGATTGTGTAATGAAGATAATCAATGGGTACTGTAATAGGAAAATTGAAATGTAGACTCTCACAGTTCTTTTGGACCCTTGTACCTCTGAAGGGACTCTTCTTTTCCCAACAGAGCCTGGTAGAAAAATCAGGGAAAGTTTCCTGACTCCAGTTTGATGAATTCCAAATTGTCAGTAGCTCACACAAGTATTTAAGCCTGATGTGGGACTTCCTAAATGATTCTCCTCCCCAAGCTGAATCTCTCCTACTCTCCTTCTCAGTAGCCACCTTTGGCTGCAGACAAATAGGCATACACTGACCTCGTACTTACTTAAGATCATCAAAGTTGTGCTGGCTCAGTGCACCAAAGCCAGCCTTAGGAACAAAAGGAATAAACCCCCAGTTTTTGAAACTAGATTTCATCACGAAAGGAACACAGTGGGCCTGCAGGTGACGGAGGATAATTGATCTTCTCAGCACTGCTGACCACTTAAGTACTGCCATCCAAAAAAAAAATGTGTCATCTTTAATGAGTGATTAGGATTTCTGGTTCCTCCTTTTCCTCTCTTCTGCTTCTGCCCCATGCTTGGTTCTAGATAAACACGACCTATAAATGTATTTAGTTATGAAAAAACTCAGTTTAAGTCCTGATTCTACAGTTTATTAGTTTACTTGAGGCAAGTCATTAAATTTCTTTGTACATCAAATTTCTCATTTATAAAATGGAAATAGGAATTTATGCCCTCATGAGATTGTCATGAAGATTAAGGTAATTTATGTAAGCCAACTAGTGTGGTACACAGAATATGACAGGCACTCGAAACATTTTAACTGGCTTTCCTCTTCCATGATAGCGCCAGGTAGGGAAATAAAGGAGAAGAGATTTGAAAAAGGAAGAATAAAGGGGAAAGTTAACAGTTCCACTTTTATATAAGTGACTGGCCATCAATATGCTCAAGTATAAAAGATTTGTAATCTTTAAACAATATCCTGCATAAGCCCTGGCCGGGTTGCTCATTTGGTTAGAGCATCATCCCGATATGCAAGGTTGTGGGTTCAGTCCTCGGTCAGGGCACACATAAGAATCAGCCAGTGAATGCATGAATAAGTGGAACAACAAATCAATGTCTGTCTGTCTGTCTCATGCCTCTCTCTCTTCCTTCCCTTTCTCCCCCCACCCTCCCTAAACTCAGTAAATTAGAAAAGTTTTAAACTACCCTGCTTAGCATGTTGGAAATTAGAGTCTATGCCAAACAGTACAATAGGAATTGCATTTGTACCACTTGAATTAAAGTATCACTGGCCTTATACCATACAGTGACAACAGTTAATTCCAAATTCTTCCATTAGAATCTCTTGGTAAATGTGTTAATACTGTATTATAAGTTAATTAAAAGGCACCACAGAGTCTTGTGAACTGTTATATAATCTTCCACTTGAAACTCTCCTGTCTTCCTGTTATCCATATTGTGGGACTCCTGAACTCTTTTAGCAGGCATGATCGGGCCACTTCTTTCTCCTGCAGCCTCAGCTTCCTCCGCCCTTCGTTCTGGGCTCTTTACTCTCATCCCAGGCTCCCACCATATTGAACTATTTCAGGTTGCTGGTTTTTGGACTCTCACACATGCTGTATAATCTGCCTGAGACACACATTTGATCTCTTCACCTGGCTAATTTATCCTTTATTCTCCTGCAAAGCCTAAATGAGATGCCCTTTCCAGAAACAATCCTTCCTATCATTGTATATTTAGCCCCTGGCACAGTACCAGCCACACTAGGAATTCAGTAAATACTTGTTAAGTGAATGAGTCAGTACTCAACATAAATGCATATAACCTGTACATTTTCAAGTCCCATTTAAAGGGAAAAAAAAGTAGTTTGTTCTTTAGTATTTATATTGGGTTGGCCAAAAAGTTTGTTTACTTTTTTCCATACTAGTAGTGCTAAGTTGTCTTTAACTTCATTCAAAACAGTTTTGTTAGATTGTATCGTGACAGCTGTCATATCAGTGTGCTTTAAAAAAATTGGTGAATTTTTGTGTAGCCATTTTAATATTGAAGATGGAAGAAAAGAAGCATCATTTTCAGCATATTATACTTTATAATTTCAAGAAAGGTAAAAATGCAAAAAAAGATCTGTGCAGTGTACGGAGAAGGTGCTGTGACTGATCAAACGTGTCAGAAGTGGTTTGCGAAGCTTCTTGGTCCTATTGACATTTTGGGCAAAAAAATTATTTGCTCTGGGGCTGTCTTATGCACTGGAAGATGTTTAGCAGCACTCCTGGCCTCTACCCACTAGAAGCCAATAGTGGAAGATAACCGACATACTCAGAATATCCAAATCAATAAAGTTATTGGTGAAAATGAAAAATGTGTTTTTTATTTTATGGAAAAAACTAAATGGTCTTCTTGACCAACCCAATATTATGCTGCTTTATACAATGTATCACATCTAAAATGGGTCAATGTCTGCCTCCTTATAATTGCTATAAGGGATTTGTAAATGTGTGTGTGGTCATTCATATTGATTTGGATTTTTCCAAAGAAAAGAATCAGTTATAGTGACTATTGTAACAGCACAGAGAAGAGGATTCTCATAGAAAGGCTTTTCCTCTTAAGTTTCTATCTAGTGAAAATGACCTTATTAGAGTATTTTAAAAGGTAGTCAGAAGATTTAGATTGTTGAAATAAAATACCAGAAGCATGTTGTGTGGAGAAATATATCTCAAAAAGAGACATTAACAATATACCAAGTGATCACAATGATGTTATATAATTGGGTTGTTCCACTGAGTTTTCCTTTTTGTAAAATTGTTGATGTTCTGAGGAATTTTTTTTCAGATGCATGTGCTTAGCACAGAGAATGAGAACTAAAGGTAGAATAAAGCAATTCTAAGAAAGTGAATGGTGTGTGACCTTTTTTTTAATTTGCTTCACAAGTAATTTACTTTAAAAAAATTAACATCTGCTATTTTGAAGCTAATCTTAGTGTATTGAATGCCCTTAACCATTTTTCAATCCCACAGTCTTTTATCTTGCTTCTCCTGCTGTGTTCCCACCACCCCTGATCCCATTAGCAAACTGCGAGACCGCCTCAGACTTACCAAAGTACTGCTTTGGTTTCAGCTGCTCTTCTGCAAGAGGAAGTGAATGTTGGGGGTTTTCTCTGTGGTACAGTTGTGATAAAGCTGTGGTGGTCTTATCTCTCTCTTAGGTAGTGGCTCTTTATGACTACACAGCGAATCGATCAGATGAACTAACCATCCATCGCGGAGACATTATCCGAGTGTTTTTCAAAGATAATGAAGACTGGTGGTATGGCAGCGTAGGAAAGGGACAGGAAGGTTATTTTCCAGCTAATCATGTGGCTAGCGAAAGTAAGTTTTATGCTCCTTCCTGGTCTACTAATATGGTGTAACCGATAGTACAAGATTTTATCATTGTCTACCCTTTAATTTACTGTCTTTGTAACTTTTGCGTATGTGTACCCGTGGGTATCGCTTTTTATTTTCATGATGCGAAAAAAAAAAATAAAAGGGAGAGGCACTAGAACGCTAGAACGCAATTTTGTTCTGGAATATTTGCTTCACAGACTTCTCAGCCCAGGGGACCTGCCCAGCTAGTTAACAACCTTCTTCATTCAGCCCCTTTCTCCCGCCACCTGCTTTACACACTTCACGCGTGATTATGTCAGTGCGGCTCTTGCCACAGCGACTCCCCAGTTGACAGTCACCTTTGAAGAACCCCTAGTTCCCCAGCTCCCATTCTTACTCTGTGTGCCTCAGGCCTCGCTGTTACGTACATGAAGCCGTTTGTGAAAGGAAAAGGACAGGAGCTAGAAAAGGAATTCCAAATAGAGTTTCTGAAAGGGGTGACTACTAGCTGTGGATTTCACCTTGAGAGGTGAAAATAGAACACAGAGAGCCTGAAAATAAAGACTACATAGAAGGGGGAGAGAGATAGTAATGTTTCTTCAGAAGAATGCTTCCTACCAGCAGTTAACTTGGTAGTGTGGCAGGAAAAACTGCTCTCAGGGCTCAGGAAAGCTGACTGCTGATCCCTGCTCCCCCACAACCATTCCTGATACGCCTCAGTTTCCTCCTAGAAGATGAGGAAGTTGAGTTCTGTCATCTCTTAAGTTTTCTTCCAGAAATACTAAGATGATAGAGTTCTGATTTAAAATGTAGTATAGGCAACCTTGAGAACACCGGTTTGCGTATTTATTAAGTCTTTTGTTTTTGCAAAGACGTGATTATTATAAATAATAGTTGCATTTGAGGCTAGTGTATGAAACCCCATTTAACCCAAAACAATGGCTGAACAAAAGTACTGTCGTTTCCTGATCTAAGTTCTGAATTTTGAGAGCAAAGGAGATAGCAGAGGAAGAATTCCTTCCATGAGTACTGGGTGCTGGCTTCAGCCCAGATGAGACATTTTCTCTGTGGCCCCCTCCCCTGCCCTGCGTGAAGCCTGGCGCTCCCAGGGCTTCCCTGCCAGTCTCTCCAGGGCTGCTCCCGGGCTCAGGGCAGCTTCCCGCCTCCCCTCGGCTTATCTGCGGCTTTGAGCAAACTCCTCCCCTCGCAAGGGCCAAGTGTCAAAAATTACCCACTTCTCCCTAATAGAACAAAATTCTGAAGTTCCTCTGTGCCACTGTTTTCATTCTTTTTCTCTGAGTAATAAATGGCTGTTAGCTCTTAAACTCCATTGGAGGTATATTTTTCATGTTTAAAAGGAGGTGCATAAGGACATAAGGCAACATGGAAGGAAGAAATCCAGGCCCGGTTAATACCCAGTCACCTGCACTTCTAACTTCCAGGTTGTCTCAAATATCCAGGTTTCTTCCCCCTGCTTCTCAGTGATGGCTTTTCCACGGAGTCAACAGCGGGAATTCAGCTTCTGTTTTTAAATCACCAGCTGCCCACACATCATAGTCACTCTAGAGTGTCTCTGTCATTTTAACTAGATATGACAATTCATTATTAATCCAGAAACAATGAAAACATACATTGCTTAACATGGCAATTTAAAAAGATTGTGTATTTCCAGGCCAGATGATGTTAGATGCTTTAACTTCATTTATTCAATTTTTATTTTTAAATTTTTTAAAGAATTTTTAAAAGGTTTTATTTATTTATTTTTAGAGAGGGAAGGGAGGGAGAAAGAGAGAGAGAGAAACATCAATGTATGGTTGCTGGGGGTCGTGGCTTGCAACCCAGGCCTGTGCCCTGACTGGGAATTAAACCTGCGATGCTTTGGTTCGCAGCCCACACCCAATCCACTGAGGTATGCCAGCCAGGGCTTAATTTTTTTATTATTTTTTAATCCTCACTGGAGGACATGCTTATTGATTTTAGAGAGAAGGGAAGGGAGGGAGAAAGAGAGGGAAAGAAACATCAATGTGAGAAACACCAACTGGTTACCTTTTGTAGGCACCCCAACCAGGGACTGAGCCCGCAACCCAGGCATGTACCCTTACCAGGAATCAAACCTGCGACCCTCTGGTTTGCAGGATGACATCCACCAACTGAGCCATACCGGCCAGGGCAGGTGCTTTTAATTTTAGAATCTATTTAGTTTGTAGAAATAACCTCTTGAGCTTCCAAATCTTGATAGGCTATAGATATTTGATCTACAGTTAGTTAAAAATCCAATAAAATTTTTCTTTCTCAGTAACCACAGTGAGACTCCTGACACATACTGTAATGATGGTTAGTGGTTATGTACAGAAATTAATGGTCTGGGGTAGTGACTGTTCTCCAACTGCCATAATTCCTTATTGCCTCCCAGAATAATTGATGGTTTCTTTTGCATCAGTTATTGCTTGTTGGAAAAGCCTTGTAGAGGCCAGAACAAATAGAAAAAATCCTCAGATACCAAGAATATAATGATTGAATTCCCACTTAATCAGGGATTTATTTTTCCCTTTTATCCTACTCTTTATCTGCATTTCTTGCACGATCATTTTTAACATTAGAGAAAAAAATGATTGTCAGCAGCATATTTCACCCAAAAAGTAGTAGGAGAAGTTGTCCTTTATTTTACCCAAAGCCAACTGTGCAAAGCAATGATCTAAAATTATGTATCTGAATAGAATTTGTACCAGCTGTGAGAGCCATGTCCTCTAAATGCAAAGAAAATATTGGTACCCCATTGCTATAAAGAACTTACTTCCTTTGTGTCTTAAGTCACAGGGAAGAAAAACATGATCAGCTTCCCTCAATCACGTCTATCATCTTTTCCAGTAAGAGATAAAGAAAGCCAATAATAAAATCAACCCATACACAAAGTCAATTAATATATCTCCTAATCTTAGAATTTTGATTAGATGTAATTTAATAAATTCTCTCAATTTAGAGTTATTCAAGTCATTTAACCAAAATAGATTTTCTTTTTAGCCCTTTAAAATTCCCACCTGACTTTTTAGATTCAGCACTGTGTATAAATTAAAGAGATTATGTAGATTATAATTTTACATTGTAAGAATCATAGATTTAAGACGGAATAGATTCATATCCCGTATAGTCCTTGCTCTGTGCTCATTTATTTCATACCATCTTCCCAAGTTGCCCTTTCTCCACACCTCTGCCTGGCAAAATCCTACCTATTCTTCAGAGTCTGACACACTGATTTCTTCCATTAAGCATTTGCTATCCCCATATAAGTATGTCTTTGTTATTATTTCTCTTTTAAGTAGTGTCGCCTTCTATTTTATGTTACAGTTCCTTGTGAACATGTGCCTCTAACCAGACTGTAAGCTCCCTGAGAGCAAAGACCGCTTTGCTCACTTAGTACACATCCCCTCTAGCAGTGCCCAGCAGATAACCATGTGTGTGGCAGGTTCCCGATAAATATGCATTGAAATAAAATGAAATAAGCGTCTATGTGACCACATAGTAAGTGACAATGACACCTTCTACATTTCTGAAATCCTGTTGATCATAATGTTTCTGAAATCCTGTTGACCCTAACTTTACAATCCTAAGTTACATTCTTTTGATAACTAATGTGTAAGTGTACAAGTTGGCTGAACAGTGAGTGCTAGGTAGCTTATTTGTACACCAAAGCACTGAATGCTGGTTTCTTCAGTTTCACGTCTGCCCCTCCTCCATCGTTGTTCTTTCCCCTATGAAACAGTGCTTCTCAATCTGATTACTTGAATTCCTTTTTTAATTCCAGCACTGTATCAAGAACTGCCTCCAGAGATAAAGGAGCGATCCCCTCCCCTAACCCCCAAGGAAAAAAGCAAAATGGAAAAACCTTCATCTTCTCAAAAGGTAAATATTTTCAAGAATATGTATAACATATGTACTTTGGTTTTCACTCTCTCTGGGTAAAATATTTATTTTCATGCTTACATCCTTTATTGTCTACCTTATTATTTCTTGCAATATTGGTACCAACATGATGAAATATATAAGGCACATATTATTATAGCCATTTTTCAGCTAAGGAAACTGAGGAGGCTCAGAGATGAAAGTGGACTGGGAGTCGTAGCCCAGGAATTGGAACAAGGTCCCAAAGTAGAACTTGTGAATTTCTGTGTGTGACGCTGGTTCCACGCTGTACTAGTTTCTGTAACGTGATGGTGACACTGTCCTCAGCCCCACCTGAGTGTGTGCTGAAAGTCACCAGAGCCCACAGAATAAAGATGTTCTCTCTCCCTGGAGTATTCCTTTTACTTGATGGTAATTTAAAATATTTTAAGATTAAAATGGTGTTGATATAGTATCAGCCAGAAAAGTGTCATGTTTTTTTAGCCTGGGCCCTCAGGTACCCTCCGTCAGTATTCTTCTGATGTTAGTAGTACTTTGGTACAAAGTTTAATAAGCACTGTGCCATCCTATGTATTATTTATTGAATTTATTTCATTCTGTGACATTAGCTTTTGCCTTGGACTGAATCACTTCACTCTTTGACAACACGAACTGATGTATAGTTTTTTGACAGTTGAACCTGCCCTGTATCATTAGTCATTCACCTATATTTATTGAGTGCTTATTACTTCTATGCAAAGCATTCCATTGGTCCTCACAGAAGCAAGATTGAGTAGGCAAAGCATTTGCTCTTGAGCTTAGCAGGCTGGTGGGTGAGACACCTGTAAAAAGGCAATTCCAACAGACTGTGGTAGGGATGATAAAGAATACACAAGCACATTGTATTGGGAACACACAGAAAGAAACCCTCTAAATCTGCCTTGGGGAGTCCAGGAAGAGTTCCCAGAGGAGGTCAAGCTTGAGCTGAAGCTTATAGGATGAAAAGGGGTGTGCTGGGTAGATGATCTTAGAAAAAAACAATCTATCAAAGGGAGCAACTTGAGCAAGGTGTGGTACAGTGTAGTCATGTTGTATAGTGTAGGTCCTAATGGACAGAAGGACAGAGAAGTGCAGGAGTCAGGCCACGGAGAGTCTGCTATACTCTGCTAAGATGCTTAGATTGTATCCTTCAGACACAGGGGATCCCCTGGATGAGGTAATCAAGGAAGTGACATATGCAGATCTACATGTTAAAAATACCGTTTTACTGGCAGCGCAGTGACTGGGTTAGAGGTAGCTAAAACCTGGGACAATGAAATATTAAAAATGAAATATAAAAGCCTGAACTGGAGGGATATGATTGAGAGGATTTTATGATTGATTTATATGATTAGTGATGTTGGAATCTAGGAGCTGTTCTAAGGGCCCTGGCTTATTATATAAGTGAGTGGATAGTGGTAGCACAGAAATAATAAAGAATAAGGAAGGTTAGGGGAGATACGGACAAGGAATGGTAGGGAGTAGAGTGTGATGAGTTTACTTTTAGATATCTTGATTTGTTAGTGGTGCTCGTGGTGCTCCCAGGTGCAGATACTCACCAGGGAGCCAGAAATGCAGGGCTGGACCTTGAGAGAAGGTAGGGCTTCAAAATAAAATGGGGAGGAGTTAGTATTTATTGAATTACATCCGTAGAGCTGAAGCTTGTAATGACGGAGATGGCTCAGAGCAAACACTGTGGAGTTCTGAGAAAGAAGTCCAAGGACAGAATCCCAGTTGAACACTAACATTTAAAGGACAGTCAAAGGAAGAGAAGATTAAGAAAGAATAATCAAAGGGGAAAGAAAGATCCAGAAAAAAGGAACTGCCCTGGAAGCCAGGGAGAAGAGAGGTGCTCGGAGGGTACAGTCAGTGTCAGAAATGGCCGGTCAGCTAGGCTGTCCGAGCATTCGGCACCTCTGCACTGGTGTCAGGGTTGATGCCAGTACGACGAGGATTGAACAGTAGAACGGGCCCCAGCAGGGGAACTCATGAAACTCATTCCCAAGGCTTCACTTGACAGGGAAAAGAAGCCAAGCAGTCACTGGAGGGAGACCCAGATCTAGGAGTGACTTTTTAAATACTGGCGTGACACATAAAATTACATACTAAGAAGACCAAGCCAATGGACAGGTTGAGGTTGAAGATAGGTAAAGAAAGCATGCAGGGTCTTGGAGAAAGCAGGAGGTTTTTGTTGCCAAGGCAGCTTGATAGGTTAGTGTTGGCGAGAGCAATGGTTCTCAACTGAGGGTGATTTTGCCTCCAAGGAGACACCTGGCAGTGTCTGGAGATATTTTTGCAAGTATCTTCAAGGAGGGGGATACTATAGCATCTGGTGGGTAGAGGTCACAGATGTTGCTAAACATCCTAGAATGCACGGGACAGCCCTCCTCCTCAAAGGATTATCCGGCCAGAAAATGTCAGTAGTGCTGAGCTTACAGCAGGACCCATCTGAGACAGGTTAATATGAATGAGGCTACAGATGAGTTAATAAAGTGGAAGGCTGGAAATCAAGGATATCTTTATGTTCTCAAAAACAGAAAGGAAGGTCCATAGCAGATATGAGGGCGAAAGGCGGAAGATAGGAAGAACGGTGACTGTTGGAATGCCCGTGCGGACAGTAGGGGCAGGAGCTCATTCGGACCACACAAAGGGGTTTGGGAGTACTCCAGGAGCTGCTACCATAAAAGTGGAGGGGGCATGATTCTGTGTAGTTGGGTTTCTTTCCTTCAGTCATGTTCGGCATCTAAGACGTAATGGTAGAGAAGACAGATTTGGTTTGGTATCTGAATAATTGGAGTTGTGGGTATGATTGAGGCCCAGATCATAAGAGACTTGATAGGAAAAACTATGGAAGTAATAAGTTATGGCAGATCAGCCAGATTGGAAAGGATGTGAAATCAGAAGACTGGCCAACTTCGAAAGCGAGGTTCTCTGCAAGGTTGCCATAAGCCACCCATGTCCAGGTGGAGGCATACTGTCCATGCAGTAATGGAGCTAACAGACTGGAACTATGGCCTGTAAATCAAGAAGCTTTCTTAATTAGTATTTCAGATATTAAGCAGCTCAAGGTTATGATAAATTCACAGAGATATTTGTAAGAGCTGAAGTCAAATTGAAGGACTCATTATTAGAATTGAGCTGACCAAGGAACTATGTCCATGTGTTGGGTAGATTGTTTCCTTGGATATTAAAATGCCAGAATGATTGCAAGAGTTGAGGAAAAAGGGACACTGAACCAAGAGGTGAAACCCTGAATTCTTGCGGTCAAGCGGATGTCTCAATCTTGGCTTTACATTGAAATCATCTAAGAAATTAAAAAAAAAAATCTGATGCTTGACCCCATACCCACAAATTGATTCCATTGGTCTGGGTTGGAACCTTGGCATGGGTAGATTTCAAAGGCTTTCCAGGGGATTTTAACATGCAGCCAACATTGAGAACCATTGTGTTAGAGTGACCCCAATCCCAATGTCCGAGGGTAACAGCTGCAAAGATAAACAGAGGATGTTCCAGCCAGGTGTGAAGGCACCCAACGAGGAGTGCTGTGAATGTGTATGCCCGAGATCAGCAACAGAGAGCTGAGAGGCCAGTGCTGACTCCCGTGGCTCAGGGACTGTGCGAGAATGAACAGCCTATACTGCAAGGAACTGAGACAAAAACGGTTTCTCAGTAAAATGCCAGTTTCACACACAGCAAGGGTGTGTGGGGATGGCTGCCTGTGACCGCGTGGGGACTACACGGGATGCAGTTGGAAGGAATTTTACTGTGGGCAGATGCTACATGTGTAATATTACCCACTGTCTGGAATTCACGAGATTTAAGAATTTAGGAAGATGGTAATGTAAATTTTCAAAATATTTATAACTTGGCACAGGGAGTCATCGGGACAGCTAATAGTGTTTGTAGTCTGTGTCCAGAACTGTGTGAGAAGCTATGATAGACACAGTCTTTACTTGTAGTGGCTTACTGGTATCCCTGATGCTCTATCACGCTGATCTTTGAAATTGGGGTTACCTAACCCCCACCTCTGTGTATCCCTGACCAATAGCAGTGAACTAATTCTGACTCAGACAGTGGAGAGACAAAGAATTTTTACTGGCTGCCTGCGAATTTGGCATCACCCCTTCCTCTTCCTGATGCTCCTGTGTTACCTGAAGCAGGTAAGAGGACAGAGACCTCTTACCTGCTTCCCAGACTCCCCAGTTCTCCCTGCGTGTGCCACTCCCCTACGTAGAACTCACTGCATCATAGCCTTAGTTTACACTGTAGTTGAGTTTTTTGATTTCATGTGCCTTTTCCTCTCACAGACCGACCATGCTTGAAATACACCTTCATGTTCACATCACAGCAGACCGGTTCTTTCTGATCCTTGAGGAGTGCTTCAGGCTAACCCCTGCTGCCCAAATCCTAATTCTAATAGATCTCAAGTAACTTGCAGACATGCAAAGTGGACCATTTAGAAACAGAAACTAGGTAAAGCAAGGGAGTTGTGGAAGACAAGAATCTATTTGAGCAAGGGAGCAGAAAGGTTCTGGTGGAGGTGAAGGAACTCAAATTGGGCTTTAAAGTTGGAGATAACATAAATTTCTTTAGTTGAAGAACATGATTTGATCTTCTCTGCCTGAATCCATGTATTAGAATAGACTCCTACATATATTTTTCCTCTTAGGAATGTACCATGTGTATAGTTTGATAATGTTTCACTGTCCTGTGGGAGAAGTATAAAGAATGATCTATACTTACTTCTCGAGAAATGGCAGTGCTGACTCTGGCAGCCGAATCCCCTCGGGTGCACTCTGAGTCACGAGCCCGTGCTTGGGCAGCCCGCCCTTGAGAAATGTGCGCCGGGCTTCCTCAGCACCTGGCACGGAGGCGTGTCTTCAGCTTCGTTCCTTCATCACAATGGATATGGTTTGATTTTATCAAGATCCTGTCTTATAAACCTACCACAAATTCTATCAGATGTTCAATTTCACGTGCGA